CAGTGCATTTAAGAGAAGTCTGAATCTATTTTTGAAAATTTAATTTTATTAGAACAAAAAGTAATTTTCACTATAGAAAACGATTATTTACCTCGTTTATAAACTCTTGAGTAATTTGCATTGTATTGTGTAATGTTTTCAACACGATTGTAATTTCTCCTTTTCGTTTAAATTTATTTGCTTTATGATCCCACTTGAGATAGTATTGATTATATTCTAATGGTCCATCTAACCAGGTTGCTTTATAAATTGACCCAAAACCTCCTTTTGCGAGATATTGAACGTTGGTAAATCTTTCAAAAGTGATCCATTCGAATATATTTGGATATTTATCATTAATTTTGTTGCATTCTTTTATAAGATTGTCGATATTTTTATCTCCGCTAGACAATTCATCGTTATAAATTCGTTTGTGATATTTGAAACAGTAAGCGCAGTCTCTATTCTTTTGACAAGTAGTGCATTTACTACAATCATGGGTATTGTGAACTAAACACTCCTCGCAGTAGAGACTAATTAGACAACTTGAACATTTATTACAATGATGAGTATTTGATGCCATCTTTGAGTTCAGCGATAAAATGCGTGAATTGATTAAATGATAGTAAAACAAACGATAGTGTTACATGTACATATAAAAGGCGTATCATTACCTAACGGTAATTAATTCCCACTGAAATTTGTAACGTCACCGCATAAACCACAACCTAAAAAGGAAAAGGTGGTACGTTTTTGCAGCAAATACATGTACAATTGTTGGGATGTCCGATGTAATTATCAGGATATTAGACAACACCGTAAGTTCTCTCCTTTATCTAAATGTAATAGTACGCTAGTACTTGACATGATTGATTCATCTTTAGGTATTTACGCCTACGATTTGCTCCTGGGATTAACGAATGTTTCATCACTCGGGTTTTAGATATTGGTGCTTATTAGTTATCAATTAAATGATATCCAGATCGCACCACGAGGAGGTTGTTCCAAATTTGCGATCCAAAAAAAATAATATTGGGTTTTTTTAGAAAAAGATGGTCATTTAGGAATTAATGGTTATATACCCCCAATAACCAAATCTCCTTTGTGCCGAAATAACCAAGCAATACGATGGATTGTTTCATTCCATCAAATTATATGAAGACTCTCCGGACCAATTATATATACCCCATGATATCCAACCTCATGGCCGGAATGGTTATTTAGAATAAAATTATCCTTTGTGCCGAAATAACCAAAGCAGTACGATGATCACTGATTGATTCATCAGAGAACAAAGGACTCTTCAGCCCGATAACTAAGAAAAGTTATCACGATTACTTTCTCAAGGTAATCGATTAAGAATTTATATCGTCAAATATCCCTGAAAACGTCACCAATAATCTTTTTTGGAAGATTTAATAAATAAATGTGGAAAACCACATAATATTCCTCCAAAAAAGGGGTATCTTCTTTGGAATAAAAAAATCAAAATTATTATTGAACCACAAATCAAAAGAATTAATGGTATTTTTTGCCCTATCAAAATAATTATAAAAAATAATTAGTTCAAATTCTAATTAAAATTAACAATGCTTTGAACATAGTTTAAACTTCTCCATCTTTAATCCTCATACATATCCTTACAATATATTACTGGAAATAACAAAAGTATCATTTTAAAATCCAAAATCCAATGATCCGATTTAAATGAAAATACTCCATTGAATTCAATGGAGTATTTTCATTTAAATAGGATCCTTAGATTTTGAGATATTGGATTTCAAAATGATACTTTTATTTTTGTTATTTCGGGAATATATTGTAGGATGTGTATATCATTAGCTCGAAACAATAAAGAAATGAGAATATCTAGCTTATAAACGCATTACGTCAGATGTATATTAGAAATAGAAAATTTGAAAGAATACTAATCAACGAGCTGTTAGGATTAATAAAATAATCCTAGAGCAGATGTCCTACTTAAGAAGATTAGTATTACTTTTCGTGTTGTTATGATAAAAGAAAGGGTCCGTTGTTGCATGATTATAAAGTTCTAGCCATGGTGAAAAATGTTACGGATCCTGTGATTTTTAGGATGTAAACTAGTGATCTTAACCAATAAAAATTCTTAACCGGTTAATCATATAATTTTTTGTGGTTAACTATGGTTAACCAATCAGTTAATAGATATTTCCATGTATAGTAATTTTTTAATTGTTTAACAAAAATAGCATATTATAATAAAGAACACACACATAAAATAAAAGTATCATATCATTGACTTTTGAATAATAAACTATACATTGATTTTTGAATAATAAACTATATTGTAAAATTAATAAAGTCATTTAGGAACAATCATAAAAGTAGTTGAATTTTGTTATAAAAATAAAAGATCTGAAATAGTAGTTGGAACAAGATGATTATGTTTCACAGTAAGAACATTACCTGCATTGAAAAATAATCTTTCAGCTGGAACTGAACTCGCAGGAATAGATAAATATCAACAAGCAATTTTTGACAATTGAGAAAATGTATTACAATTAATTTTCCATCAAAGAATTGGAGCATTTTTTTTAGTTGGAGAAAGAATAGAAATATTCATATAAAGATCTAATTCAAACTTAGTTTCATATTTATCTTGTATTTCAAATTTCTCAAAAAATTGTAATATAGAAGATGATGAGTTGGTTATAAATAAAGAGGATTCAACTTCTGATGATGAATTAAATATAATTACAAATTAGAGATAATGCATACTCTTTTTGCAAAGATGAAATAAAAGCAAGTGATTTAAAATATGAATACATTAAAGATGCCAAAATTTCAAGATCTTGAGAATCTTTCCATTGATTTTTCATTAATTTAAAATAGTATCACAAATTTAAATAATAAATTAATAACTAAGTTATTAAGTATTATAATATTTATACTAAAAAAAATCCTCAATTATAAAATAAAGAATTAATATAATTAAATAATTTGCATCACTTAAAAAATTTGTAGCTTGTATAAATGAATAAAAAACAAATACTAATTTCTTAATATCATTTTATTAATCTCTTATTATAAATAATATAGCTAAGTTATTATTATCTTTATATATTTTAGTATCATTATCTATTTATATTACTTTATATATTATTTAAATTGCAGATTTTAAAATAAGAAGTATTTCAAGAACTTTATATATAGAATTTTATCTTGTATTAATATTTTGAATTAAAGCAGTTATTTCTTTATCAGATTAAAAAAACTTTTTATATTTGAAAAAATAACTTTGGTATTTATTATGATGAATAAAAAAAAGTTTAAGTATTTTTATCTTTTTTAATAATTCTTAACTGGAATTTATTCATAATCTATTAGATATAGCTAAATGAATAGTATGTATATAACAAGAAAAATTAATAATTTATAAGTTTTAAATACTTTTAATATCTTTATATTATTATTACTTATATTAATAATAATTGATTTTTATAAATTAATATATCAATAATCAAGTATATATTATAATCTTATAATTATATTTGCATTAGTATAATTATATAATATTTTTTCAATTATAAGTAAGATCTGTTGAAGCTTAAAATTATCAATTATTTAATAAGTAGTTATATTAATATAGAATTAGTGAAATCTAATTCAAAAATCAGTTATAAAACTCATTTTTGTTATAGTTTTATCAAGTAAATCAGCCAAAATTTGATATGAGAATTTAACACTTTGTATAATTAAGATTTTGATTATATTATCACATGGAATTTTATAACTAGAATACAGAGTAATCAAAAAGACTTTAAATTTTTTTATTTTTTAATAGTATAAATAGTTACAAACTATTAATCATAAATTCTAAGAAATAAAAATCTGCTTATTTCTGCTTATTCTTTGAGAGTGACTGAATTATTATATTATATTCTTAGATAATTTGTTATCTCATTTCAGTAAATTATATATTTTTTGTTATAAGATAAATACAAAAAAGATAATAAGAATAGGTGAATGTAGTGATATTCAAAGAAAAAATTACATTACATCCTGCAACTTTACATTTAACATTCTATTCATTCTTATCTCTATCAAATCATTTCCATACCCAGCTTGTATTTGACTTAGAATACTTGTTTTTCTGTTTTGTTAATACAGATGTTTGTGAAGAAGAATGAGAAGCAACTGCTGAAATAACTGATGATGTGTATTCATCTTCAGTATCGGTATCACTTTTTTAAAGTCTCCAAAATCATCAAAGTTTATCATTATTGACTCATGAATTTGAAGTCATTGATTATCAAGTGTGGGATCAAATAAGGAAGGAAGAGAAGACAGTTTGGTTTATGATATTTTGATCTATAACATTAGTGTTAATAGCATATTGGTTTGTGATAATTTCATTTTGATCAATATTATTTCATTTTGTAGTAATTTTGTTTTGGTTCATAGCATTTCGGTTTATGGTGATAGTTTCATTTTGGTTTGTGATGTGGTTTGGTTATCATTATCATTATGTACAATTTGTGTGATTAACGTGGTTGGTTCTTGATATGAAAAATTTCATTAATAGGATCATAAAAATAAAAGGCATAACTTGATGCTTTTTTTTGACGTTTATTCATATTGTTCAAGTTGGTTTATTGTTATCATTATCGTTATCATTATCGTTATCGTTATCGTTATCGTTATCGTTATCGTTATCGTTATCGTTATCGTTATCGTTATACGTACAATTATACAACTAATTAATTTTTATTTAGCAATGAGCAATGATATCTATATCTAGAAATGGTTAACCGTATAAGAAATCTTTAACTGGTTAACTAGCGGTTAACCGGTTAAGGGGGTTAACCGGTTAGAATCACTAATGTAAACCAACCAATCACAAGATCAATGTGTAACGGAATGAATTGTGTATCAAGAAATCCAAGTCAATTAGCCACTGTCGCATGATTTGACTAGCCACATCCTATACACGGGTTGTTAAAACTGAATCAAAATTTCGCGATTAATCTCTTACAACCATGAATCTAGGTAATTTAATAGACCACGCACTTCATCGATAACCGCAACCTGATTCTTACGAAAAAAAGGTATACATTTTCTATATTGAACATTTTATTTTAATTTTATATAGATTTTATTATAAAGAATGTAATAATATTAAGTAAATTAAATAGAGAAATATAGGCTAGAGAAACTCTAGGTATTTTTTATTCATATTTATTGAATTATTACTTATTTCTTTTACGAAACGAGATTTTGTCAATATTATTCATTAAGCTTGAACAAATCTAAAAATTAGACGTAGGAACTAATAAGGAAGCCGTGGTAATTAACAGCGCCATCAAAATAATTCAAAAGCGAGATGTAAAGTATCAAGAGGAAGAATGTTTCATTAATTAAAAAAGCGCAACAGGTGGTGAATTATTTGATCGTATGTGTGATCGCGGAAAATTTACCGAAGCAGATGCTGTGAAGTTATAAAAACAGTACTTACGCAATAGCATATCTTCACGCGAATCATATCGCACATCGTGATAATTATTATGTGTATTCTTGATTGATTGTTATTTACACTTTTGAAAGATTATTTATTATAATATTAGATTTAAACCCAGAGAATTTATTATATAAGAGTCGAGCACCTGATTCCACTCTTGTGCTGGGTATTGATAAATGGAATTTAAAATATAGTAATTCATTTTTTGCTAAATATTTAGAACTGCAAAATTTCATGACAGATGACGATGATATTCTAACTACTTATTGTGGTTCACCTGGTTACGTCGGTAAATTTTGTTTCTTACGACTTCATTCATCTTAGTATATCATCAATATAATAGTATTTAATACATATGATTCGTGTAATAGCATCAGAAATTTTAAATCGAGTTGGATATAATAAATATGTGAATCTTTGGAGTATGAAATGAACCCTTTTTTTTTTTAGTAATTCTTATAATTTTCTTAATTAATAAATTGCATTAACTACATTTATATAGGATTATTTATTACATATGCGCTGCAAGCATGTTACTAAATGTTGATTAAGATGAGCTTTATGCGAATGGAATTAAATTCTTGATTCAATTTTCTCAAATGAATATAGATTATGTGGAGGATCGATTTGCCACAACCGAGGAAAGAAATGGCTTGCGCGTAGAATTTCACAATCGTTATTAGAGAAACATTTCATCAGATGATATTATTATCCAACATATTCTTCTCTTTTGCACTATTCAAAACTTAATCAATCATCATAAATATTAAACAAAGAATGATCCTGACACTTGTTCTTTTTTATAAATATTAAGCCAAAGATTTTATTATTCACCTACTAAATTACGATCCGAAAAAAAAAGGCCGACCGCAGAGCAAGTGCTAAACATAAATGGCTTACGGGTAAAACGGCAATGGAGATTGACTTATTGAATGAGAACTTTAATGCTCGTAGAACATTTGGAAGAGCGATGGAAGTTGTACAAGCAGCGAACAGACTCGAGAAAAATGCTACAAAGAAACCTAACAGTGAGGATGATGAGAAAGAACTACAAAATGTGCAAATCATAATCAAAAGCAGGCCCAGGATATCGAAACGGATCCAGATGTAAGGATAATTAAAGTATAAGTTGATAGATTGATGAATTCATGAATTGTATATTATCCATGTACTTGTAGAATTCAGTTATCGTTATATATTTATATTCTGTGTTCGATGTAATAATTGTTAAGGACTTACATGTTAAATATACAGTGGTAAATTTATTCATTTGATTAAACATCTCATTAACGAAATTATATATTCATCAAAGGCAAATGTTAGATTGTACTAAGATTTATTCTAATGTTTTCAATAAGTTCCGGCGTGGTTTTGCAATTACAGTATTACTTTACTATCATATTTCCCTTGCATATTCATCTACACCTACGCCATTGATCATTAGCAACCGGATCCACCTCATTTCCAGCATTCGGATAACAAATAACTTTTTATGAGTCCACAGCACGACCCAAAAGTTCTGTCCACGTGACTGCGTCGATCGGTACCGGCTTTTCCGATCATAGATGATACAAAATTTCGGGTCTACGTAATAATGAAGCATTAAAGATAGAACGATCCATTATTTCTTTCCGTTTCTCTTCATTATTATTATAATACCTTTAATTATTTATTAAACAAGAATTTGCATATTCTTAAAAATACATTCTTAATTATGTATAATTATTCTCAAAATTATTAGATTTGTGAAATCTCTACTGTGATAATTGT